CCCCAACCATTGAGGCTCTATATTATTTTGATTTTTTAAAATTTAAAAATTTTTAAATTTTATTTTTGGTAGTTTTTTTAAAAAAATTTTTATTAGTGAAACACCATGAGGTACAGTTGTAGCCTTACAAATTTTTGTGCTTGGGTTTCAGTTATACAATGATCCAGTACCCATCCCTCCACCAGTGCCCATTCTCCATCATTTTACATTTTTTTAAAAAAATTTTTGTTAGTGAAACACCATGAGGTACAGTTGTAGATTTACAAAAAAAAAAAAAATATGGAATGCTTCACGAATTTGCGTGTCATTCTTGAGCAGGGGCCATGCTAATCTTCTCTATATCGTTCCAATTTTAGTGGAACACTCTTATTATTTTTATTCCTCCCCCACTTTATTTAAACACTGTGGTATACAAAGTTATTCATGATGATCTGTCACAGGCCTTCAGTATTCCAACCCCAATCCCATCACCCCCATCATCGTCACTCCACCACTGTCTTCATTTTCCCAACCCACCCTCAAGCCTGTCCCCATAGCAGGCCTGCGATAATTTATTCTAAATTGCTTGTGACCATTACATGGTTAATGGATTGATCGATAAATAATTTCCGTAGAAAAAAATTTTTTGGGGGGGATCACACCCGGCAATGCACAGGGATTACTCCTGGCTCTGCACTCAGGAGTCACTCCTGGCAGTGCTCAGGGGACCATATGGGATGCTGGGAATCGAACCCGGGTCGGCCGCGTGCAAGGCAAATGCCCTACCCGCTGTGCTATCTCTCCAGCCCCTGTAAAAAACATTTGTGAAAATTGTTTTTTATCTCCCACGGGGATAAGAAATCCTTGTCTGAAGGGTTTACCAAGCTGTTGTAGCCAGGTAAGCATCTGTGTTCTGTCCCTCATTCTGTCCCTCGTCGCTTCTGTACCTTTGTCAAAGAATGAAGTAGTTTCTGGAAGTGGCCGGGGTTCCAAGCTAGCAGGCACCAGCCAGGTGGGTCCAGTCCCCACCCCCTCATCCCTCACCTTGGATCCTGTTTGAAGACCCCGAAGCTTGAAGGCTAAGCACCCCTTTGCCTCATCCCGATTTCCAGAGTGGGGCAGAGGGATTTGGACTTATGAGCACTTAGTGATGGGGGATGCAGTGGGCATCCCGATCCTTTTATTCTGCTGAGCCAGACACTCAGATGGGGACTGGGTGTGAGGAGTTCCCTCCCATGGGGCAGGCTGAAGATTATCTCAGATACTTCTGTTGTGTTGTTGTGTGGTTTTAGAGTTACACCCAACAGTGCTCAGGGGTGACTCTAGCCTCTGCACTCAGGAATCGCTCCTGGCAACATGCAGGGAACCATATGGGACGCCAAGGATCGAACCCATGTTGGTTTTGCTTGCAAGGCAAGCGCCCTACCCGCTATGTACATATCTCTCCGGCCCTTCGTGACTTAATTCTGTCTCTGTGCTCAGGGATCATTCTGGGGGGCTCGGGGAACCCTATGGGTTGCCAGGGATCAAACCCAGGATGGCAGTGTACCAGGCGAGCATGCTACCTGCTGTGCTATCGCTCAGTTCCTGCTGATACCGTCCAAGAAGTCTTCGTGCAACGGAGGGAAGGCCCCAGCATGCACAGTGTGAGCTATCCTCTACTCTGCATCCTGACTTGATTCTCATCTCTTCTGGGCTCGGCAGCTGGACCCTGTCCAGCCACGGAGCAGTCTCAGACCGGACTGTTTCCCGGATGAGAGTGTGCAGAGAACGTGGAGAGGTTGAGCATCAGGTTCCGTCCCGTCAGGGTTTGCTTCCATAAAACTGAGCGCTGTTTCTCTTCTCAAGAATGAAATATTCGGGGCTGCAGGGATAGCACAACAGGGAGGGCGTTTGCCTTGCATGCGGCCGACCCGGGTTCGATTCCCAGCATCCCATATTCCCATATGGTCCCCTGAGCACCGCCAGGAGTAACCCCTGTGCATCGCCGGGTGTGACCCAAAAAGAAAAAAAAAAGTATGAAATATTCTAGGGATCAGAGAGCTACAACAGGGAAATCCAAGAACCACATATGGACCACCACTGCCCCCCAAGCACCGCCAGGGGTCACTCCTGAGCACAGAGCCAGGAATAGCCCCAGAGCAGAGCCAGGTATGGCCCCAAAGTCATCCTGCCACATTAACAAGAAATCAGTCTGCCAAGCTGAAATTAGAATTAACTAGAGACTTGGAAAAACTCAAGGGTGGAATGGAGGCCTGTGTAGGTTGGAGAGGTTTCAGGAGGTGACCGTGGTGTTGCTGGGGGCCCTGCTGCTGCAGCTAAATATTCATCGGTGCAGGAGAATGTGGGCAAGAGATGGAGCCGAGAGACGGTAGAGTTGGAGGATGCTTGCCTTGCGTGCGCCCAATCACTGGCATCACATATGGTCCCCGGAGTCCTGCCAGGAGTGATTCCTGAGTGCAGAGGCAGGGTCTGTGTAGCAATAAGAGCGTTGCGGAAGGGGGAGGGAGGGAAGACAAGCGAGCATGAGTGCCTGCCTTTTAGTGCTTAGAGAGAGACAGGCAGACAGGCAGAACTTGCCTTTTAGTGAGAGAGCTCAGATTTGGAATCCGGCAACCCCTGGGTCTTGGTACAAAGTGCAGATTCACCTCTGCCGCCTGGGAGGTGATATCCATCTGGGTTTGACGCTGGGCTCTGAGCACGGGCAGATTCTGGACCTGGGCAAGGCTAGGCACTCGGTCGATGACTGGGCTTTCTCTTGTGGAGGAAAGGCCCCGGGCTTCCAGGAGTACTGACTTCTCTTTGGGTGCTGCTCCTCAGCTGGAACCAGAAATCCTGGGCTTGCCCAGAGAGTCACTGCTGGACCCCAGCTGACCATATGGAGCTGAGGTAGTCTGGTGTGTGTGTGTGTGTATGTGTGTGTGTGTGTGTGTTTTGGGTGGGGGTATTTAAGGGAAGGTGGGGTGATAAGGAGGACACCCTAAATGCCAGGCTAGGGAATTTGGATGTGAATGTGAACAAGAGGCATCCAGGCCCAGAGGGGTTCACTGGGAGGTACAAGATGGGTTGGATGGGGGGGGGGGTGGGGATGCGGAGTGATAGTACAGCAGGTAGGGTGTTCGCCTTGCATGCGGCCAACCCAGGTTCGGTCCCCAGCATCCCATAGTGTCCCCCAAGCACTGCCAGGAGTAACCCCTGAGTATCGCTGTGTGTGACCCAAAAAGCAAAAAAAAAAAAAAAAAAAAAAAAAGACTGGTTGGATGGGAGAAGGGGGAGTAGTAGGAGGAGGTAGAAGCGGTCTGCTCAGAGGGCTGGCGTGTGGACTTTGTGTGCATGAGAGCCTGTCAATGAACAGAACTGTCAATCACCGTGCCCAAAATTCAAAACATTTAAAATGAATGGAAGGTAAGCAGGGGCGCTGTGAGAAAGAGCGTTTGGCCTTGGTGTCTGTGTTCCACCTGCCCCTCCCGCCATGACTCAGAATTTCCCATTTGTGTTCTGTGTACATGGGACAGGATGCGTTTCAAATCCTGTCGGAGAGGGAGATTTGCACAGTGGCGTTATTCACAGCTTCGTCGGGCGGCGTGCCCGCGACCAGCAGCTCCCTGACCACAAAGTCCAAGCCCGAACGGCCCAAGAAAGAAGTCATTCTCCAGGACGCCTCCTCCGATGAGCTTTGGGGGTGACCAGGCTCTCGAGGCCCTGATAAGGTTGTGATCGCCAGGAGGACATACAGGGAGCAGTCCAGCACCTTCAGGCTGGGGGCAGCCTGGGGAAGTTCTGGGTCCTCGCTGAAGCACACAGGTACCCCCAAGAGGAAAATGGTTGCATTTGACCCAACTCTGAGTGGCCCTTATCATCCCAGAGGATAATCGTAAACATTAGTCCAGTCTGAAGAAAACAGGAAACAGACCTGCCCCTCCCCACTGCAGAATCCCTGCGCACCCTGGGTGGGCCTCACCAGTTTCCCTGGTTCCAGTCCATCACTCATGACTCCCCATGGCTTGGGGTACACATCTGCCCACCTCGGCGGAGGGTCTAGTCAAGTGCTGGGAATCTAAGGTCTTGACCCAAGGACTTCCCATCACCTGGGGGGCAATGCTCAAAGTGCCACCAGGCCAGGATTGGACGGTCCAGGGCATCACCAGCTCCAGCTCACTTTTGAGCAACGCTGGCAGGCACAAGACCATGGCAGAGAGGTTATACCAACTCAACTCCCAGCAGGTTTGAGCTGAGATGCTTGAAGGCCCTCCTCCAGACCCACCCTGCATTCCCGAGCCCCCTCTATCCTGGAAAGTGCTTCCGGGCTGGGGGACCCATAATGGGAATAAAAGTTACTGGCATACTGGGTTTTGTTTCTCCTGACAAATTGATAAATGTACCTCCAAATGGCTTTGGAGATCACCCAGTTCTGAACTTAGAGGTATCTTCATGCTTTCTTGGGGTCGGTTTCTACTCTGAAACTGGAAGAGGGTTCCCTTCCAGATTTTGGGGGGCACTCACCACCCCACCTCACCCAATCCCAGTGAGTGTGGGTAGGGGCAGGGGAATCCAACTTCCCCCTTCTAGTCTTGGTTCCCCTCTTGCAGTTCAAAATAAGAGCTTCCTGATGGTGTGTTTAAAGGGCTGTGGGCTGTCCTGTTTCTGCATAGAATTTATACCGAACAGAGTATGTTTTCTCAGGTGAGCACACATTGCTCTCCTGTTGAAGAGAGCCGATTCACTGGTGTGATCTGCCTGTATGTACCCAGAAAATACTGACCCACAGGTAGCCACCCAGCTGGTCCACACCAATTACCTTAAACAACTTCAGGATTACTCGAACCTTCAAATACATTCTGTACACACAACCTGCAACTGTTGTCACCAGAAATGGGTTTCCAACACCTAATTTGGAATCAGGAGCCCTTCGTCCTATTTTAATTCAAGAGATTGTGCTATTTCCATTTCCCAAAGCAAGATACTTAATATGATTCTATTTCTTCCTAAGTATGGCAGTGTAATGAATCCAAGACAACACATGGGTACCAAATTACTTTATTTGAAGGTCCGATACAAATCATAAGACTGAAATAGATGTTTTGGAACTTATAGAAAAGGTTAGGATAACCCCAACATGCATGTACTGCCCGGTGGCCCGGAGGTCACCTGCAGCTCGGGGAAGCCAGCTTAGTTAAGGCTTAACTCTCGTTGTCACTGTGACCCAGTGTGTGCTTGTCAAAGAGATACTCCGCCATGCCAGACTCAGGGGCCCCCATCTTGCGCAGGTTGGTCACGTGGTCACCCAGTTCTTTGATGGCCTTCACCTGCTCATCCAGGTAGTGAGTCTCCAGGAAGTCACACAGCTGCAGAACAGAACGGGAAGAGAGGACCAGCAGCTGATCCCGGTTCTGAGCTGATGGCCGCCCCTGCCCCGCCCGCCCTTGTCCCACCCCCGGGACTCACATGGGGGTCATTCTTGTCCGTGGCCAGTTTGTGCAGCTCCAGCAGTGACTGATTCACGCTCTTCTCCAAGTGCAACGCGCACTCCATCGCGTTCAGGCCGTTCTCCCAGTCATCGCGATCTGGTTTCTGATGAGATTGAGAGAGAGAGAAAGAGGCCTGTCAGATCAGCTTCCTTCTGCGAAACCGCAACAAATCAGCTCTGACGGAGGCAGAGGCAGTCAGTAACACACCCCTGCCCGGCTTTCCCAGCTGCCTTAGCAAGTGCGGGCTCAGCCCCTTCCTGCCGCCTCCTGGAGAGGCACGGTCAAGTCGTTCTGCTGGTTACCTTGATATCCTGAAGGAAAATCCGGCCGCCGCGCTGGTTCTGCAGCTTCATCAGCTTCTCCGCATGCTCTCTCTCCTCGTGAGATTGGTGCAGGAAGTATTTGGCGAAGTTCTTCAGAGCCACATCGTCGCGGTCAAAATAGTAAGACTGAAACGGGGAGCACGATACAGTAGACGAGGGGCTTCTTAGGAGGCAGGGACCCGCCGAGGAGTCCTTGGAATGCCCAGCAGCATCCCCCAGCAGATCCCTTTAGGGACTTCACGTTGTTTGATGACGGAAACCAAGAACAATTGTCTCCAAAGACCTTTTTCGGGCCCCACCCCGGGAGGGGGGTGGCGCTCGGCCGCCCCTGGCGCAGCGTGGACGCATGCACGCTCGCAGTCAGTGGTAGAAACACACAGTGGACAAGGCCGTTTGCAGACACGCCCGCGTCCAGGCCGTTCCCGGAAGAAAAGTGCCCGGGGAACGTGGTGAGCCTCCGGAGTGTTCCTCTTTGGGGGTCACCCTGAACTCTCCTCGGGGCATCTGCACCATCCCGGCGCGGGGAAGGAGCGTGCACCGCAGCCCCCCGAGTCGCAGAACCCCCATCGGGGGCTGCCGGGGGGGGGGGGGTGGAGGGGGAACAAAACAAAACCCTACCCCGCGAGCGCGCGTCCTGGGAAGGTCGGCGGCCTCGCAAGGACGCGGGAGATAAGGGGCGGCGCGCGGCGGCTGGGGCGCCCGGGCAGATAAGCAGCCCCGCGGCAGCCACCCGACACCGGCGTGCGTGCGTGCGTGCGTGCGCGCGCGCGCCAAGGGGAGCGGAGAGGGTCTCCGCCGTGCCGCGCCCCCCTCCCCCAAGCCAGGCCCCAAGCGGGGGGCGGGGGGTTCGGGGTCACCGGGCGCGTGCAAACTTAGTAATGAAAACAGGACCCTGCATCCCTCTCGCTGCTGCAGGTCTCCCCGGGGCCCTCCGGGTTCCGTGCACGACGGTGAGCTGGGGCGGGCAGCAGGGACCCGGGTTGGGGGCGGCGGGGGACGGCCTGGGGAGCAGCAGGGGAGCTGGGGCGGGCCCCAGGGGGGGCAGTAGGGGCCCCAGGAGGCAATAAGGAAGCTGGAGCGGTCCGGGGGGGGTGCACAGCAGGGTAGCTGGGGGCGGCCCCGGGGAGGGGCAGGCCTGAGGCACAGCAGGGGCCCCAGGGAGCAGCAGGGGCGCCGGGAGCTGCCCCGGGGAGGGGCAGGGGCGCTGAGAGTCGGCCCCGGGGGGCGGCAGGAGCTCCGGGAGACCGCCTGGGGTGCAACGGGAGCCCTGGGGTGCAGCGGGAGCCCCGGGGAGCAGCAAGGGCCCCGGGGAACGGCTGGGGCGCAGCAGGGGCGCCGGGGTGGGCCCAGCAGGGGCGCCCCCGGGGGACGGCGGGCCGCCGCGCTCACCATGGACAGGTAGACGTAGGAGGCGTAGAGCTCCAGGTTGATCTGGCGGTTGATGGCGGCCTCCGAGTCCTGGTGGTAGTTCTGGCGCACCTGCGAGGGGGACGCGGTGGTCATGGTGGCGGCTGAGATGGGACGAGGCGGCGGCGGTGGTGGTGTTGGTGGTGGTGCAGAACAGGCTGCGAGCGGCCGGTGGATGCAGCGGGGGGGGACGAGCGCCGGGTTCCGTCCAAGCACTGTTGAAGCAGGAAACCGCGGCGACTCTCCGCGAAGGCTGTGGCGCAGACGGCGGTTCTGCGGCCTTTTATAGCGGGAGCGGGCGTGGGGCCCCGCCCCGGCCCCGCACGCCACTTCTGGCCAATCGGGACGCCGGGACGCCGCGCCGCCCCGCCCCTTCCGGCGGGCCCGAGCAAGCGCGCGCGCGCGCGTGTGTGTGCGCGGCGGGCGGGGCGGGGCGAGGCGCTGGCGCGGGTGCGGTGGGGGCGGGGGAGGAGCTCGGAGGCGGGGGCGGGCGGCCTTGCGCTGCAGGCGCGCGTGGGGGCGCGTGGGGTGGGGGTCGGAGGGAAGGTCTGGGGAGGGGCGAGATTGCCCCCTCTTTTCGTCTGCAGAAGCCTGGGGTGGCCCCCCGACACCTAGCCCAGGCCCCCACCCAGCAGAGGGTCCGTGAAAAAAAAAAAAAAACAGCTCCCGGGAGCGGCGGTTTGCGCGCCCCGGGCGGGGTGCGGGGTGCAGGCTGCAGGCTGCGGGCGTGGGCCCCGCCCGGAGGTGGGGAGGCCCGGCGGCAGGGGCAGGGTGCGCGTTCCCCGGCCTCGCGTGGGACGGGCCGCGTGATGCAGTTGCTACAACAAAGGCCCGGCGGGCCCGCGTTTCCCTAGACACAGTCCGCGCGGGTCACCTGCCCCCCGCCACCCCTGAAATCCCCAGGTGGTTAGAAAGAAAAAAGAAGCACTTGGAGCTGGAGGCCCTGCCCAAAGGCCCTGTCCACGCACGCAGATGGAAGAAACTTCTAGAAGCTCGGGGAGGGAGGAGGAGGGCGGTGCATGGCAGCTCAACTTCCAGATTTGGAAAAGGAATTCTGCTGCGATATTGAAATGGGTTGCACATCGAATTAGGAGGACATGTTCTCTGGCTTTGGGGTCTTTGCTGTCAGTCCCAAAGAAACCAACCTTCAGCGGGGGAATCCGGTGGGGCTGCAGTAACAGTGAAGGGTGATGGGAGAAATCCGACAGATTACGGTACCTTCCCCAGCCTGGGGGAGGAAATCATGGAAGGCTCCGCTGAGAAGGGGGGTGCTTGAGCTCAGCTTGAAGAAGGAGGGAGCTCGGAAGGGAATTCATCCCAGCCAAAGAGAACAGCGGATGGGAAATGAGTCCAGGCGGTAGATGAGCCCAGACCTGGTCTGCTCCAGGTATTGACACAGTGTCTGGGTGGTTTGGAAAATGCTAAATGAGGAGGAGCAAGGTTTAGAGGGTTTATGTTCCACAAAGAGGAGCAAAATCTTAGCCTGGATGACCCCAGGCACTAGTTTTTTTTTTTAGAGGTCTTCCTTGGAAGAGCTGCTGGAGGATTTAACACAGTCGCCAAATGCAAAACTCTTCTATAAAACAGCAGTCCCCCCAGGATGAGAATATGACAAAAGAAAAAAAAAAGTAAAGGTTTTCATTTACATTGAGCACAGAAGCTTCGAGTACCTAGGAATAAAGTTCATTGCAAATGTATGAAAGGGTTCAGTGTTTACTGATGGTGAGAGAAGAATGTTTGATAAACAAAGAACAACGTGTTTCTAGATAACCAATCTCAATTTTGTAAACATATCCATGCCCCATCCTCTGCTCCCTCCCCCCTCCAAAAAAAATAATAAGGCAAGTCTATAAAATTGTTTTGGAGGAGTTTGACAAGAGATATTCATTTGGAAGAGTCAACGTGTGGCATTTGTAGAAACGATGTGTGAGCATACGTTTGCTCTCCTTGTTATCACCACAAAACACTGTGTTCTGGCAGGGGAGGGGCCGACTAGCCAAGGAAGCAGTGCTACCCGCTTACCTGTGGAACTTGGTACCTGCTGATGCTGCGGTTCAGATTAGAAGAAGGTGGAAACGATGAACAAACAGATGAGAAATGCTGACTCACCCTATGGGAGAGTAGTGGGAGAGAGAACTGGTGCTAGTCGGGACCACCTGGAAACCTGACTGTTACAGGCGAGTCCCAACTGCTGAGACGGGGGGACCCGGGGCTGACTGCCATGTGAACGTTCTCCGTGCAGAAAGACAAGTTCACTGCAGGCTGGAGATGGTGGCAGCTGCTTCATGCGACATCCATCAGGAGGGAGATGCTCTGAGCAAGCAGAGGGAGTCAGCACGTCCCAGGAGGGAGAGAGGGAAGCAGAGTGAGAGGTGGGACTGAACCAGGCCTAAGGGTGAGGGGAGGGGTTTGGGGGAGCCCCTGGGTGGCATGGGACTGAGAAGTGCTTCCCATCCGTTCCCCTTCCCAGCCAGTCCAGAGTTAGGCCCATTCTGAAGGGAGAACAGAGGAATTGGAGGCCCAGGGCAGGGCTGAGCTAGACCTCTGATGTTCTAGGAGAATTGGTTGAAGAAGGGCTGGAGAGATAGCACCATGGGTAGGGCGCTTGCCCTGCATGCGGCTGGACCTGGGTTCCATCTCCGACATCTCATACGCTTCCTTAAGCTCCAACCAGGAGTGATTCCTGAGCACAAGGCCAGGAATAAGCCCCAAGCACCACTGGGTGAGGCTCACGGTCACGGTCACGGTCCTCCCGTTGTTCATTGATTTGCTTGAAAAAATAGTAATAAGTAGAAGATTGTCTTTCAGAATTTTGGTGGGAGTCGGGTGGGTGTTCTGGGGTTCTCAAATGCCTTGAAAGGACAGTTGCTAGACCGGACTATTTAAAGTGAAAACTGTGGGGGCTGGAGCGATAGCACAGTGGGGAGGGTGTTTTCCTTGCCGACCTGGGTTCGATTCCCAGTATCCCATAGGGTCCCCCGAGCACCGCCAGGAGTAATTCCTGAGTGCATGAGGCAGGAGTAACCCCTGTGCATTGCCGGTGTGACCAAAAAGCAAAAAAAAAAAAAATAAAAAAGTGAAAACTGTGGAACAGGAGTTGCCTGAAAGTGAGGGCAACGGCAAGTGACAAGCTGAATTGCTATTTGTGAGAAGTGAAGGTCTCTAAGAATCCTAGGTGTTTTCCTCTGTGTAATTATATGTCTGGGCTGGAGCTATAGCACAGCGGGTAGGCGTTGCCTTGCAAGTGGCCAACATGGCCGACCGGAGTTCGATTCCTCCACCCCTCTCCGAGAGCCTGGCAAGCTACCAAAAGTATCTCACCCACACGGCAAAACCTGGCAAGCTCCTCGCGACATATTCGATATGCCAAACATGGTAACAATTATCACAATGGAGACGTTACTGGGCCCACTTGAGCAAATCGATGAACAATGGGAGGACAGTGACAATGGCAGTGAATTATATGTCTGTAAAACCCACCGCCTTGCCTAAGGCCCTCGGGATCGTCTCTCTGCTGCTGTTCGCGACAGACGCGGAGAGGGCGGACACCGTTTCTGCTGTCACCGTGGCTCCCAGTCTTTTGCCGGGTTCTCGTTCCCCGGTGCTCAGAATGTGTCGACTGAACAGATGGGCCATGCGTGTGGAGGATGCGTGCAAGGGAGGCGAGGTTTGGGGTGGCATCAGCCCTCGTTCTCAGGGAGAAAGAAGCCAGAACTGACTAGGTGGGGGGGAGCTGGGGGCGCAGAGTGCGTGCCAGCCTTCTGGCCTGGGTGGCTCTGCTTTGCACAGAGAATCAGGGGTGTGGGAGGAATTGCAGATTGGGGGCGAAGGGGCTAAGTGCCGCTGGCTTTTTTTTTTCTTCTTTCTTTTTGGATCACACCCAGCAAGGCACAGGGGTCACTCCTGGCTCTGCACTCAGGACTTACTCCTGGCGGTGCTCAGGGGACCATATGGGATGCTGGGAATCGAACCCGGGTCGTCTGTGTGCAAGGCAAACGCCCTACCCGCTGTGCTATCACTCCAGCCCCAGCACCGCTGGCTTTGACTGGAGTGTCAGCGCACCCAGGACCTCCGGGTGGACAGAATCAGCCCCAAATTTTTGGTAGACCCAAGTTTTTGTTGGGAGGAAAGTGGGTCTGTGGCAGGAAGGGGCTCTCAGCAGCAGCGTTGGCTCTGCCTTTGGGTGACACCTACCCCAGGGAACAGTGGAGGCGGGAGGGTTGGCTGGGGCAGATGTGAGGGGGAGACTGCTTGGGAAGGAAGAAATGGAATTCTTGCGTGTAAGTGTGTGTGGTGTGGTGGGTGGGTGGGTGAGAGTGGTGTGTGTGTGTGTGTGTGTGTGTGTGTGTGTGTGTAAGAAATGGGAATCTTGGGGGCTGGAGCGATAGCGCAACAGGTAGGGCGTTTGCCTTGCATGCGGCCGACCCGGGTTCGATCTCCAGCATCTCATGTGGTCCCCTGAGCATGGCCAGGAGTAATTCTTGAGTGCAGAGCCAGGAGTAACCCCTGAGCATCTTGCCGGGTGTGACCCAAAAAGAAAAAAAAAAAAACGGGAATCGTGCGTGCGTGTGTGTGTGTGTGTGTGTGTGTGTGTGTAAGAAATGGGAATCTTGTGCTAACACACACGTGTGTGTTTAAGGGAGTGTGTGTGTTTGTAAGGATATGTGCAAGTGTGTGTGCTTGTGTGGGCTTGCTCCCCACTTCCTGGGAACTCGAGGGCTTGTTTTGCTACACCGCAGGGCCTCTGGCTTCTCTCGAAGCCCGGCCTGGTCTTTGGACCTTTGTTGGTGGCCCGGCCTTCCTCCCTCCAGCCCTGGCGCCTCGTGACTGCAGGGGCGGGAGTCTGGCAGGGCTCCCGGCCGGGCCCGCCGCCTCCCAGGGTCAGGAGTGGCGGGAGGGGCCCCAGGCGGGGAAGAGCTGCTGCTGGGTGGTGGTAGTTTCTGGAAGATGCTGGATCAGCCCCAAAGCAGGAGGGGGCTGGGTGGGCCGGGCGGGAAAGACTGCTGCTCCACCATGACTCAGCACTCTGAGAGGGGTCTGCTTCCGGCTCTGAGCTCCAAAAGTGCTGTGTCATGGAGGGGAAGGGCTGGCTTTAGCGGGAGACACTGGGACTTCATTCAGTGGGGGTAGGCGGCTCCTTTTCCTAAGGTGGGGACTAGGAACCGGGTCTGGACTGACTGGCATTTCTCAACCTGGGCCACAAGGCC